ACCACAGATAACTTGATGAAGGCTATGTGTAATTGCAGACAAAAGATGCAATTTATTTATATTGTATAGCTAATTTTCACCTATGTATTGCACATAGTGTTAACAAGTGCATCTATTTCATAAAATGTTATTTTCATTTTGAAATGCTTCATGTCACATTTTGTCTTGTAGACTCAGGAATTATTGACTGACCATTTAATTAATTGAATAAAAGCCCAAATATACCAATTAAGTTACAGTAGTTAGTACTATGTTAGAGCAAATTCAAGGCAAAGTGCTCTATCATGTAATTTTGAATGCTTTCAGTGATTTTGTTTTCTGATATAACTGGTGTTGTTCAACTAGAAGCTGAACATTGAACTGAAAAGTCCTACATGTATTAAAGGCGTTTCATTAGTTGCTGATGGTTTCAAGGTCTTGAGCTCACATTGAGGATGGACTTTGGCTCTCCTGCTCGTCTTGGTGACACTAGATTTCTAAATAAACCACATATCAGTATTGAATTTGCTATATAACAGATCATCAATTATGAATGGTCACCACAGTGCATTATTAATGCCTATCTACCGTTTCCAACATTAAAAATTAAGCAGAATTGATGGGAAGAGCTAAATAAAGTCAAGCAAGTGTTTTAATCATTTTGAAGTTGGTGAGAAAACTCTTACCAATGAAGATGTGCACATTAAGTATAGTAAAAATGTAGTGGGGAAACAATATAATTATATATATACATCTCAATTATATAAATAATTGAGGTATAAAACTTTGTATTTTTGATTTGATTGTTGTAATGTAAATATGCTATTTTACCTATGATATACCCATAAACAATCATTTTAGCTCTGTCAATAAGCCATTTTGGGGTGAATCTTGTGTAAACTGTCAAGAAATGCCAGGGACATATTTGACCCCAAAACTGACTAAAAGAAAAAAATGTATGTGTTTTGCATAAAGAAAATAAAGCAAATTTAGCCAACCACTGTCAGTAGCTTATGACTGTAATGTGAATAAATTGTATATTTCTAATAATGTTTATTATACTAAATCATTTTTTGATTCTTTTACCACAATATTTTTTTTTATTTAGTGTATTTTTTGCTTCATATTGTAGTTATTAATATTTATAGACATATAGACTTTGGGAAGTCTATAAATGAAAATTAATCATTCAAATGTTATTTAATTAATTACATTTTCTTGATGCAAAACAAAAGTTTTTTTTTTTTGAGGTGTACATTTCACCCACTGATGCCAGCATGTATTCTGTGTAACTGTTAATGTGTGAATTTATCAAAAAAAGAAAAGCCGATAGAGCTGTGAAGGTGAGCTGAAATCCTGCATTGGAGAGCTTTTAGGAGGACAGCGAGTGTCTGTGGCTGTAAGTGGATTGCTGCTGAAGTGCTGTATTATTTCCAGACAGCTGGTTAAGGGTCAAAATGATCAAGTCGTCTGAAGGTCACCTGCGATCATTGTACCTTTGTGTGTGTATATGTTTTGAAATACAGATAAATGGCAACAATCAAAAAAGATGAAGACAGACGGAGTTAAGTGGATCCGTTTGGTGTGCAGAAACAAGAACGCAAACAGTGGGTTTCACTGAGAATTTAACAAACCACATCAGAAGCACAACATCACTCTGCAGAACTCAATATTTGTTTCACCAGAATCTTACAAAAGCCAGCATGAAATTCACCATGATTTTACACTTTTATCTTATAAAAGTCCAGACAATACCCTTAACATTTCACAGACAAAAAAACAAAACTCTTTTTAACATGTTTTTAAATACAACTAAGTGCCCTAAGCAGTACGATCTGTACTGCAACCCTCTTCATTGGTTTTGGCCAAAACCAAACATTACAGTAACCTCTTACATTAAGGAGGAAAATGTTGGCTTTTGTGTTCTTTAAAGTCAACATGAAATCAGAAATAGATCCTATTTTCCTAGTTTCCGGTGTTATTGAGCATGTAATTACAAATAACACTCTCGTGGCAATTTGTAATTATTTAACGTTTGGGGAATTTCCAGCAGCTTATATGTTTTTGCACACATATACGTTTTCATATGATCTGCTTAAGTCCCTCTGATGAACAAGTTAGGGGTGAACTTTCATGTTCTTTTTCGAAAACTCGTACATTTTTGCACAATTAAAATTCAATTTTCCTAATGATCAAGTCAATGAGATCGTCAAAAAAAAAAAAAAAATATATATATATATTAGTGCTGTCAAACGATTAATCGCATCCAAAATAAAAGATATATTACACACGGATATATTATGTAAATAAAAACTTATTTTGGATGCGATTAATCATTTGACAGCACTTATATATATA